ACCCCCCCCCCCCCCCCCCTGAGCTGGCTCGGGGTCCTACAACCGGTCTACACTCCACCCCCCCCCCTGCCCTCACACGTCCCGTATTTTTCATGACGCACATTCGGACCGCACCACACGCGGCTTACCCCGTCGTTTGTGCTCCGCAGGTCTACAGCTGTGGATACAACAGCGAGGGGCAATGTGGGATCGGGGAGATCGATGAAACGGTGCCAGAAATGGTTCCGTCGTTGACCAAGGTGACACCTGATATCTTTGTTGCGCGATTGCATCTTCCGTAGTGTACAAAGTTTGATTATTATGTGGTGCTCACAGCAGTGTGTATCCGTTCTGGCCGCTACGATGTGGCACCTCTCCTCTCTTCCGAGATGGCCAAAACAGTTTGTAAATCCAGTCAGTTGTCAACGGCTAGCACGGATGCAACCAAGCGCTCCTTGCTCAACGCTGTTCTGTATCCAAGGCCTCGCCCAGCAAGTTGCGCATCCGGTTAAATGTTTTTCTTATTCTTGTCGTCGCGTTTCAGCGCTTGCAGCTTCTCTGCCGGGAAGGAGCTCCTACCCGTGTATGACTGTATGGCCGACTAAGAACGATGCTAAACCATGGTCTCACGTACTCTCGAAGAGGTGATTTCGTTTCGCTCCGCTCAGGGCCGCGCACTTGCTTCCCAACCACGAAATAATCAACACTCATATGCATACAACGCACAGACAAAGGGAGAACTATTGGTCCAACCCTGAGCATGTTAAACCCTTGCTGCAGCAGATTTCACGAACGACATCAAGCTTCAAATTCCATCTCGCCAAGCACTAGGTTGCCGTTCGCTGCAACTGAGTTCACGAGTGAGGCCACTTGCGCTTTGGGATTTGCCTGTGACAATAGCTACCTTGAGTTCAACCACCAAGAATGACTGCTCATTGGTCAAACTCTCAGCCATGAGGGACGATTTGACTGCTGTACTTGAATTCATGCGCAACACCCGTGAGTTCTGCCATGACTGTTGTCGGCGCTCCTGTGTCAGGTGACTCTTCGGGAGCCAAGCTTTCGACCTGCCGGCCGTGTGTCTCTGGTCCACTCTGGCAACGGCTCCGAGCACCTTGTGGTTGTGACGGAGGAGGGGGAACTGCAAACCTGCGGCCGCAACAACTCGTGAGTAGATGTGGTAGCTCCGTTGCACGCGGGGTAAAGGAAATTTTGTGAGAAAGTAGTTCGTGGGTGGCAGAAGCAATCGAAAATCAGCAAATCGAAGGGGGAAATAGGTGCGATCCATTGACAAAACGGCAGTTCGTGGGGAAGGAGAGAATCGAGGCTGGCACGGATGGCCCACTTTTGTGTGTATGAGTCACCCCGTTCATTCTGGACGTCGGATTCTACCCTATTTGATATGTTGTATGGACACATCAGCCGCGGTCATGCAGGAGGACGGCCGCACATGAGGTCCTTGTTATTTTCTCCACCTTTGCTCTGCGGTGCTTACCTCAAGGGTGTGGCGAGAAGGGTTCAGTCCTTCTCTTCCCTCACCGACCGTGAAGTCGGCTCTCTTGCCGTCGCACACTTGATTGGCTATCCACATTATTTGAGCACATCGCGGGAAGAAACACACGTTCGTATGACGGCGCAACGGCCCCAACCATGAAGCCATTAGGTTACTATTTGAACCCAGAAGCCACTCCTGCATGAGCTGAGCACGACTCATCCAACAACCGCGGCACCTACATGAACTCCGCACGACAACGTAATGCTATCGACCTGGCAGCACCATCCCCTTTCTCCTTCCGCCCAGTCTTGTCATTTCCGTTTCCGTACCATCTCCTTCCCGTCTCCTTACCATCTCCGTCCCGTTTCGTACCATCTCCACATCGGTTCGACCTGTGCTGCCCAGTACCGCCTGGATACCGTCCCGCACCAACCCATATTTTCCGCTGGTCATGCCTCATCAACACCCGACACACTTTCTGCTCGTATCTATCTCTGCTTTCTGGCGCCGGTCTGTTCGTTGTACCCTTGTCGCCGCCGCCTACGCGTTTGCACGGCCTTTCGATCAGGGGGCAGCTGGGGCACGGGGAGGTGGGAAAGGGATACAGCTTGCCCAGGCCGGTGGCAGGTTTTGCCGGGTACCGAGTCACGAAGGTGAACTTATCTGGTTGGTGACAGAGGGCATGGCCCTCACTGCTTGGTTTTGTCTTCGTCCCAGTTGCCATTTTAGTACGGCCCTTGTGAGGTTTGTGCGTGATATCACATCTGGCCACGCCTCCAGCAGCTGTCGCAATGCCTGGCGATGGTGCTGATTTTTCCAGGAATGCGTTTTTTTGTTTGTTTGTGTGCGACTCTTTGTTTGTCTTTCTGGTGACGCTTGCCTATCCCTGTCCCTGCCGATGCTCTTTGTGCCTTGTACACGGCATCCTCGTAGCGTATCATTGCTTGTGCACTGTACACGTGCCCTTCTTTCGTAGCACGTGCTGGACAATAGGGGTGGCCGCTAGTGTAGCGGCAAAACCGGACTAGTCCTCTAGTTCACGCGTGCTTGTTTACTCATCGACGTTGCTGATGTTGCTGCTGCTGCTTCTGTTGGCTATTGTGATTTATTCGTCACCTTGTTGCTGTTGTTAATTCTTGTTGTCCCACTGACTTCTCGTATATACTTGACCTTCATATGGACGCCTTCATTGTTTCCCCCCAAGAAGCCCACCTCGATCGTAACCCCCCCTCTCCCTCCCCCCGGTGTTTGCCATCGGGGTTGGGTTTTCGTCGCTTGGCAACGACGTTGTAAAACAAGCCAATTCACTTCGTGAACTCGGCAACCAGGTGACCGTTTTTTTTTACCTCTGTTTTTTTTTGGCGGTAACTATGAATGGTGGTCGAGTAGATCATGTTGTGCGGGGTCGAGAACCCTCACTCCGCGCAAGGGGGATGATCGCACCACGTTGTGTTAAAATGGTCAAGCATCCTCGAGGCAGTTACACAGTGCTTACAACTGTCTCTGGAAGTGAAAGCACCAGAAAATAAATTAAGTCATACGCAGCTGTCATCCGTACGCAAGGAAGTAAGCACAAGATGCCGAACACCCTTAGCAGGATGCAGCTCACCCTTCATGCGACTCGCCGAATACCTCACGGCGCTTCGCGCTTGGTGATGTGAGAGCCTGGTCCGGTGAGAACCCGGCGTGCTCCGTCCCGGCTTTGTAGGGATGCGAGGTCAATGGTCGAACGACTACGGCATGCACGACTATGAGTACACCCCCCCCCCTGTGCAGAAAAATAATGGCTTGTTTACACTCACATGCCTTGACGATCTCTCTTTGTTTGTCTTGGTTTCCCCGTTGCATTCGACACCCTCCCCCACGGTTGGTGCAGGTGGCGTGTTCGTATTCGCACACGGTGGTCGTGACGGACGACGATCGAACGTGGACCTTCGGGGGCAACGGCTACGGACAGCTGGGCCATGGGGACCATAGCTCCCGCTCTGCTCCCGCGGCTCTGGCGTGCTTTCAGGGCCTGGGCGTGCTCAGCGTCGCTTGCGGGGTGTACCACACGGTATGTTGCAGAGAAACAAGGTTCTGGAGGCAGAGACAGAGTGGGAGAGTGAGAGAGAGAAAGAGAGAGAGAGAAAGAGAGAGAGGGCGGGGGGGAGGGCGAACAGACACGGACACCGACACAAACGGACCAAGGACAACCTTTGTGTGTGTGTGTTTGTGAGTATGTATCGGGAGGCGTCCTGTTCGTCGCGCTCGAGGTGATTGTACAGCAATCAGAGGCGAGATAGGCCGGAAGGGGAGCAAGAGGGGGAAGAAAGGAGTGGAGAAGGTAGCAGACGTGTGCGTGCTAGAAAACCCAGGGGGGGTACATGAGGCAGACGGAGCGACTACCGGTGTCGGGGTGCAACTATTTCAGGGTGTGGGCGGGACGGAAGTATCGATATGATAGTACAGCGACGTGTGTGGTGGTTTGCTTTCTCTGGCCGAGACCGTCGAGAAGTCGCAGCCTTTTCGTTGTTTCCCTCAATGCATGAGCATTTGCCAGGCTCCTTTTGCCCACATGTAGAATGAGGGTACGAACCCAGGTTGAAGGCGCAAACTACTCGATGATGCCACTCTGCGCGCCCTTTGCAGACACACCACCCGACTCCCGGGCAGACACCCACTGCGAGGACTCCGCCTTCCTCTCTTGTTCACGCAACAATTTCCGATACAGCATTGAAGCAACCACAGCAGCCTCTTCTCTGGTACTGTACCTCTTAGTACAGAAGAGAGCCTCACGCCTGGGAAACGTGGTTGTAGCACAGACATCCGGACCGTCAGCCTGACATTTTGGCAATTGGTTTTCGGTTGCTTCGAACCAGTGTTTTTTCTTTTTTTCGCGCGGTCTTTTTCACGTTGTTTCTGCAGGTGGTCTCAGTAGCAAGTGGCGGCTTGTACTCCTTTGGCAAGAACGATCACGGACAGCTCGGCCTCGAGGGTGGCGAGTCCAGGTTTACACCGGTGAGCTAAACAACAAGCACGCTTCGGGCAAGAGCGAGGTTTTGTGCTGGTAGTTCTGGGATACTTATTTTTCGTTCAAAGATGGGACCAAGCACGACGCCGCATGCTTCTGCGACAAGCGCAGCTTTGATCATGCGCGCATGGGCGTGTTTGTTTGCTCGACGCTAATATCCACTGCGGTCCACATTTTAGTCTAGCCTGTTGTCTTTGTATTTTTGCCTCTTCTTGGCCTGCTCTTCTCTCGACGGAGCAGCAGCGGAAAGCTGTAAAGGAAATAGAGATACGGCCAGGTCACGACAACATCTTGGCGAGTGGCGGTCTGAGTGCGTCTTTGGGGGCTGAGAACAACAATAAGAGAGTTCCCCTTAAGCGGTTTTTGGTCCATCCAGCCTCATCTCGCTCACGAACTCAAGGTTACCCGACAATGCGCCGGCGCCGGGGTTGTGTCGATGTGCTGAGCAAGGTAGCCATGTGGGTTTCAGTCTGTGGGCCCATAATTCCGGAGGGTGAATTTGTAAGGTCAAGTGTAGCACATGGAATTATTTGTCTTCCTCGCCTCCTGTTTCATGCGGCGTGGGTGAACGTTCGGCCGCATCCCGAAGACCGGCCGCGGTTTTCTGATGCCTGATACCGCGAAGGGAGGAGTGCAAAGACAAGGAAACACGGTACGATCTTGCGTCACCCCCACGGAACACCCACCCGCAGATGCCAGCTCGACCCCCCTTTCCCAGCGTCACTACATTACCCCACCGTGCATGGATTTTTGTTCCACCGAAGGTGCAGCACCGAGCGTGCACGTCTGTGGTAGAGCAGCTGGCGTGCGGGTACTACCACACCGTGGCGCTCAGCAGGGCCGGGGAGGTGGTCGCATTCGGTCGCAATGACTACGGCCAGCTAGGGCTCGGGCACAGGGAAAGCACCTGGTGAGAGAAGAACGGAGAACGAAGGGAGGACGCGCATGGGAGAGAGAGCGGGGGGTGGGCATAGAAGCAGGACGAACATGTCGGCAATTGGGAGCGTTTTGGTCTTGACACATGGAGGTGGGGAGATAGGGAGACGGAAGAAGAAGACCATGGAAGAAAAATGAAAGAAAAATTATTGCTTGGTCGTCCTATTGATTTATTTATGTTCCTCCCGCTACGTCGAGGGAGGGAAATAGCGACAAGAAGAATCGATTGTTGGACTAAAGGACAGAGGAGAGGAAATAGAGAGGGATAATGGAACGGGCAAGGGGTGCTAAGGAACCAGTCGGCGGTCGGGCCCATTCGTGCCCCCCCTTTTCGTAGGTGGTCATTGGCTGCTGCAGGTAATCTAGCGGGTTCCGCTCTCGTGTATGCTCTGCTTCGGCTGCTCTTCTGTTGCTCCTACCCTTCTCATTGTCGTTGATGCTACTGTTTGCTACACAATAGAAGCAGTTGGTTTTCTGTCACACAACTATTCTGTGGCGTTGGTTAGTGATACGGAGACGTCGTCATTTAGCTTTGGTAAGAATGGATGTCATGCGCTTGCTACCATGAACCGATCGATTCACAAGTGTTTTTAGATGCTGTTATATATATACATATTTTTTTTTTCCTCGTGTGTTCTCCAAAATTCTGCAAATGATCCAGTCCGCCATCCCAAGCTAATCGCCGCATTTTCTCCCTCACCCACCAGGCAAGGCGGCCAGGTGCCCGACCTCGCGGGATTGCGAATCATCCAGGTCGCCTGCGGCTCGTACCACACCATCTCGCTTGATGACGAGGGTCGAGTTTACCCCTTCGGGAGGTATGCGTTCGTTTGCACGCTGCTGTGCCGCTCGCTGTAAATAGCAATCTCCGACAGGGTCAATATCCGACGGGGGCAATCTCCGACGGGAGCAATCTCCTACCAGCGGCGACACGTCGATGCTGTGTCGGCCTAGTGGTGGTGTAGTTGGTAGGTAGCCTGGCTCCAAACATTCAGACTTGGCGAAGAGACTATTTTCAATACCACGCATAGAAGGTCAACGTTCGCCGGTGCAGTGGGGGACATCTGAATCATTCTCATTTTGTTGAATAGAGGCAAGTTCCCAAGGATTTCGACTTTGAACAGCTGGTTTGTGTCTGAAACGATCGTTCCAAGGTCTCATTCGTTTTGCCGCCTGCGATACCAGAAATAATCATGGGCAACTAGGGACAGGGACGAGAGAGGATGCCTGCCGGCCGTGCTTTGTCGAGGGGCTCTCCCAAAGTTTCGTGTGCCAGGTCAGTTGTGGGCCGCACCCTATGAACATTCATCCGTGTTCGGTGTTGCGTCGAGCGTACCACGCTTGCACCGTAGGTTGCATCAGATACCCCCCCCGCCCGAACAGAGGTCTTCCGTTACTCCACGCCCAAGGAGACGCCCCAATCAAATGATGCGTTGTCGGGGGGGTCTCGAAAAGCTGACGGTTCCAACGCCGCTATTGTTCGGCACCGTCACGGTGTTTGGTGCAGAGTAATCGAGCTTCCGAAACCGTTCCAGAGGGTGTTGTATCTCACGCAACCCGCGGTAGTTGCCATGTTTGTTTTATTGTGGTTTTCTCTGCCTGAGAAGTGCAAACATACCACGCTACTCTCTTTAGACATGGGGGGAAGAGTTTTCCCGTGTGAGTTTGTTTATTTTTCACGCCATGTTCAAGATCGATGAAGGAAAGGAGTGGCTGGGGCCGTTTTGCGATAGAGCGAAGGATAAAGGCCGCAGAAAATTACGACTATTTGAAAATTCGCTAACATATAGATCACAGAATGAAATGTTAGCTCTGGCTGATGTGTCCAAAACCACCCCGGAAAAGTGGATTAGCCCACGTCCGAAACGAGATCACATACACACATGCACGGTTCTTTGTCCTCTCAGCTATAGGCTAATCCACATTACGGTCGCTCTTCGTTTTCCTCTCTTTCAGAGTGTCGGCTTCGTGGGTGGGATGTCCACCCCCCCCCCCCATATGCGTGCCCCCACCTCAATTGCCACACACCACCGCTCCCTGGCGGCGAATGCCCTAGAGTCTAGGGTGCCACATGATGCCAGTTGATAATTCCATCCACTAAAGTTCGGAAGCTTGCTGTTGTCGTGCTCTTTACCTCCAATATTTTCTTCTACAAGGGCAATTTAGGGAAGAGTGTGCGGGACCCGTGCCCATGAGAATATATGAAACGACTGCTTTTCTTGTATTCACATGCGAATTATTCAGGTGGCTACCTGCACGATTCACAACACAGGGGAAAAAACTGGATGACCGTGCTGCAGGAGAAAGATATGGACTAGTAACAGCGTAGCAAAGCTACAAAGACTTGTGTACAACAATACACACCATCCTTTCCTCTGGCTCCTGACGACGCTCACAGGTGGCGGCGGGGTTCTACCACACGCTGTGCCTTACGGGCCCGCCTCTGGAACGCAAAGCAGGCCATGGCTCCGCCTTCGTCGTCCGCGACTCCAAGTCGCTGAGCTCCGACCTCTACCGCCTGCTCAACAACCCATCCCAGTCCGACGTGACGTTTACCGTGGAGGGGAAGGTCGTCTACGGGCATAGGTGGGTGCGAAGCGTCCTGGGGGGCGCCAAAAATGGGTGTTTCACGTGGGTACGTACGGCAGCGGGGTAGTCTGTGAAAATGGGGAGGGTAGGAAGGGGCCGAGTGTGAGGGGTTCAACGTTTGGCTGGAGGAATCATCTGGGTTTGTTTTTTTTGGCGTACGAGATTTGGTTCTCGCGGAGGACCGTTTTTGTGAGAGGGTGGTTGTGTTACCTGCAGTCTTGCATGCCGCTGGGGATACACTTGGATGATCAGGCGCAGGCCTTGCATGTAGCAGGCCGCCAATGATAGGTTTGCGCGCAGTGAGCTGAACCCCTCAGTTCGCCCGCCGATTGCTTCCCGTCGCTCTTTCATTCGTCACAAGACCAACAGTTCGACAGAGAGCGCGTATGAGCTGTTTGCAACGTGCTGCCAATGGCTATCGTTGTCGATGTTGAACGGTTTTGTCTCTTGATCTCCATTCCCATCACGAAACGCCCCCGAACACGAATGCCAACCAAGGTGTATTCTTGGCGCCCGCTGCGAGCCCCTGGGGCGCATGCTGGACGGCCCCATGAGAGAGGCGTGTTCCGGCGGGGGAAGCATTCCCATGCCGAACCACAGGCACGCCGTCTTTCTGGCCTTCCTCGAGTACATTTACACAGATAAGGTGTGCATGCCGGCAGAGTGTGTTTCTGCCGCTAGGTGGAACGATCCCGATGAAATTTCAGTCATATCTCGGCTGGTACCTATTGGATCAGGCGTACCAGCCTTCTTTGGTTGGGCGTGCATGCCGACGGTACGGTACAATATTGTCATCATCGCCTTTGGAAAATTGGAGTCTCCCCACACGGTAGTGCAGCTGTCTGTCTCATCGATAAGTTGCAGACAAAATGCAGTTCACGCTGTGCTGTTAAAACCCCGACACGCCTGCCCTGAACAGATCCCGTTCCAAAACACTGGCACGACCCATTGCGACGCTCCTATGCCTTTGTTTCTGGCAGGTCATTGCGCTCGGAGCCGACTCCCTTGATCTAGAGTTCTGCCTGGACCTGATGGACCTTTCCGACCAGTACCTAATGGGGTCGCTGAAGCGACTGTGTGAGGACTCCGTTCTGAGAAATATCACGGTAAAGCCCAGATGACGCCTTCCCGCTTCGCCCTTGGCGAGTTGAATAGTCATCAGCAGCACGTACAATTTTATTGGGGTATGCACTGTTTCATCTCGGGGGCGTTCACAACAAGCCGGAAATTCTGCTGATAGACAATCGTATCGCTTGAGGCCTGCTTTGGGTGTTGCAGCTAAATCAGCGCATCCGTGGGTACTATTGTACCGGTAGCCGAAGTCGCCGTCGCCCCCCCCCCCGCCCAAGACGTCTTTAACGCCAGTCTCTTCTGGTGCTTGGAAATGCCCAACAATGGAGCATTCCCTTCCTCCACCGGGGTGGTAGTGCACCACGTCGTTGCAAGCTCTTGCGTCGAGGACGGAGGTCGCGGTTGCCTCTCCTCGCTACCGAGGTGTCGCAGTTAGGCTCCGCCCTCGCTCCACCGCCGTGACCCTAGGTCTTGCCCTTTCCCTGCAGTTCTGGTGCCAAACAACTCTTACCCCCGTCCCCCATCCAAGGTAAAGGACTGCTGATGTTGACGGTGATATTCTCAGCAATTAGGAGTCGATTTTTGGCGTTTTTTTCTGTCAAGATGCTGAGCTAGGGGTTCCACGTGCGGCGGTCGATGGTCAATTCATTGAAACAAGCCGCAGCTGAGTACACCCCACCCCTCCGTAACAGGTGGAAAACGCGTGCGAGCTTTTTGTTACCGCCGAGGCACGGCTGGTCCTGTCCCTCCGAGACAGGTGCCTCGACTTCATCGTGAGGAACTTTGGGTTGGTGTCGTCGACTCCCGGTTTCGGCTCGCTGTCTCCACCGGTAAAGGCGGAAGTTGCGGCGGCGGCGGGGGCGGTGGCCTCTACGGTGACAAGTTCTTGACGCGGAGTTCTCCTCACGCTGAGGGTGTTTGGAACGAGTTGGAGCTGGAGGCACGTTGGAGCAAAGTTTAAGCAAACGCGAAGGCTTGGTGGTGGCGTTGCGCATGACGGCGCTGGGTTGGTTGTGCTTGTCGATTTAAGCCAACCACCCTCATTGTTTGCTTCGCCGCTCCCGTAGCAGTGGCATGTTGCTGTGGGGGGCCGTCGTCTCGCCTTGGACAACGCTAGGCGAGCACGTTGAGAGAATATTGACAACAACCCCAGCAATAGCCTCAAGCTATCTTGAACCTGTCTGTAGCGGCTGCGGCGATCAGGAAGTCACAGCGGTGGCCGCGTTTGTCTGGCCGCCGTTCTGACCGCGTTGTCGAGCAATGGCAACGAAGGTCCCCCGTTTCGTGGAGCAGGCATCCGGCCTCCATCGCTTCGCGCTGAACGCATTGAGGTGTTCGAGAACCTCGACCATCACACCCCACCGCCGCCGCTTTTCTTGCTACTGCACCATCCGGTCTTGTTTCCTTCCCTTGCACCCCGTATCGGCCGACAACAGAGACCAAAACGGTCAACAATAGACGCAAATGGAGACAGTGACGTGTAGACCACCTTTTGCGCCAATTTCTCGCGTCTCCGTGCTGAGGAAACACCGCACCACTCTACTCCGGTGACTGCCTTGATGGAGGCTATCTCTGCTTGGTTTGCACGATCTTTCTGTAAAGTCTGAGCTTGCAGGCTGTCCATGGTTTGTACGACTGCCGTCAGCCGCCGCGTGCGTATGCGATGCTTGTTTCTTCTTGTCCGTTATGATATTTGTCGCATGCACAAGAAATAGTTGCTTGGCCCGTGCAAGTGCCGGCTCTTGTTCGCTTGGGATGGCTTGAGCTTCGCTTCTTGTTTTCGGAGGGAATAGTCACGGAGGAATGCCGGTTGGGTGGCAGTGGGCGTTGAGCACATCCCTCCCAATCTCCTTGTTTCCAGGTGCTCGGAAGTCGATGCGCATGGCATAGCGTGGTGCAGGCACGGTAATCCAAGCAGCTTTCTGTGAATGTCTGATACTTCGCAGCAGCATGAGGGGCTACCCCCTGCTGGCAAAGGTTCCATCAAAATAAAGCCTTGACTACTGTGAACCGATGCCACTTCGGGTAGGCTGATGTGTGCATTCTTGAGCGAATCTTCATGGTAATGCCTTGATTTCCTCCTGCTGATCAGATGCACCGTGTGTGAAATGGGCGGTGCTTCTGCACTCTTTCTTCTTCCTCCTCCTGCTGCTGCGGTCCGGTGTTGTGATCTCCTGATTTCTGCGGCAAGTGTGTGTCACCAATAATTCGTCAAAGTCAAAGCACACGTAGGTTCCGCGAAATGAGAGCTTCCACTCACCGGAGGTGCCCGTAGCTCCCATTGTGAATGTCGCTACCTGTGAGGGTATTTTGAGGACCCCGTGGAACATCTTATATCCACAGGATGTGTCCGTCGTTGACCTTGTGAACGTCGTTACCGTTCAGGATATGTGGGATGACCCAGTGAACATAAGATACCCACGGGATGTGTCAAGCCTGTGAATGTCGATACCCTATCTAAACTTGTGTGGAATGGCTCCCTCGTGTGGAACTTATATCCACGGGGGGTATTGTCGTTGGCCATGAAAGCGCGTCGAACGGTCCCGTGTTGGAACATCTGGTGCCACCAGAGATGCGTTTCGCTTACGTACTACGGATGTCGATACCCTAGTGAACGGCGAATGAAACTGTCGAACATCTAATCCTCACGTCTTGTGCGTTACTATCGGACCCTGTTCGTATCGGTACCTTGTCATATCGTGTGCAAACAAGGTATGCTACTGCTGCAGGTGTATAGTGGTGGTGGCGGGAACCTCACACACCAGCACACCTAAAAATATCTCCGAGGGTGCTACAAAAGTCCACCCTCGGCGCCGAGATTGATTGTGCAGACAGGTACATGTGCCCTCTTCCATAGGCCAGAGGGCAGCGACATATTGGTGTCGGGTTAACGGATAGCAGATCCAGGGTCGTCTGCTAACATAGCAGCCTCTCAACAAATGGGAAACATGCACCACGTGAGAAGGTGCTGGGAGACGTGGCGTGCAACTACCGGGAGCAGCCCTGCACTTTCCCCGCCGATTTCGAGTACCGTGGGAAACAAATATTTGGAGAACGGTTGGAGGTGGACTCGACTTGATCGAATGAGGTCGGCACCAAAAATCGGACCCAGCACAAACGACACCAGGTCGTCAAAGGCGAAAAGCGCTACGGGAACAAGAACAACGTTGGCTCGGCTCGGAAGGAATGAACAAAAATGAACGTCGCCTCCGTAAAAGACTTTCGGTAAACTCCAACATACGCTGACATACATGGCGGCACTGACACTGCGGTACTATTCGACTAACGCACACATCACACATCACCTTGGCAACCACGAAAACCACGTACACTGAACTGCAGAAAAATCATCCTCCTCTCAAACGCTGAACCTACGTGCAAAATTACTCTTCGCAAAGTCCGTAAAAGTTAGCTAAACTACAGTCGGGGGATCAACAATTTCATCAACAATACCACAACACTAGCTTGCCCTCCTTGGGATAAAAGGTGTGGATCGGGACTATTCCTCGTCCGACAGACGGGTGTGAGGAGGACATCGTGGGGTTGTCTCTCTTTACAAACAATGATATTTTGCGAAACCGAAACGTCCGCAGAGAAACTAGTGTAGTGCCCAGCCAAACCGTACACCGGAACGGCTTTGAGAGATTCTCGCGTGGTAGTACACAACGTGCGAATCATACACTGCAGACGATAATGACACATTGTCTGAGAGGGAGCTTACATACCAACGTGTGCTCACGTTGGTGAATGAGACTTAGGCTCCCAAGAGATAATTCAGGCTGGGTCCAACAACAAAGCATGACATGAGTCATCGGAGATTGCGTGCTTGCATCACCTCCAGATGAGTAAATGGTGCCTATGACCTGGCACCTGCGTTTCTACAACTACTCGAACTCAACCAACAAGGCTGGTCCCACAGGCCACTTAGAGCAAGCGTGCCTCTTCATCTATATCACAGAGTACTTTACAGTTACAAGACACCGGCTAGCGGGGTCCAGCACGCACAGGAGCCTCTCCCCCATTCCAAGCTGTGCCCCCTCAAAAACTTCCCCGCGAAGCAAAATAACGACAAATGTCCAGATTCTATGGCTGAAAGCGAGCGCGTAAGGTTGTCCGCTACGAGACGCCTACGGTGGCAGCGGCGGCGGAGATGGCATTTCCGCCACCAGCTTGCCGTTCTCCCAGAGCTGACTCGTGACCCCATCGGCTCGGCGGAGCGTGCCGGCCCCGTGCCTCTTGTCCTGCTTGAAGGTCCCCTCGAAAACGGTGCCGTCCGCCAAGGTGTACGTGCCGAAGCCGCTTCGGACGCCGGCGGCCCACTCCCCGACGTAGGTCTGGCCACCGCTGTACTCCATCTTCGCGCGTCCGCTGCGCACGCCGCGCCTGTTGCAGGTGGACAGGCAGGAAGAAAACGGTGTTTGTGCGTGATAAGCGGAACGCAGTTGTGCGGCCGCAATAGTGCCGGTTGAGGAGCGCGATTGCCTTCCCGATATAGCGCCGCGGTCAAAATCGTTCGGCATCTCAGGCCAAAAAATGAGTTGCTCTGTGCCGAAAAGTGAACACTTTTCGGTCGGGTACAATCCGGTACCACTGAGAGCTAAATAGAAGGTGTGATCGTCTTTCAAAATGGGGAGGCAACCGTCGTGATTGATCAACGACAGACGGAGGGCTAACTTCAGCGAGGATTGCAAGGGTCCTTCCTGTGCACTTGAACGAGTTCAAAGAGCATGCCAACTGGAAGACCACCGCATCGCGAAGCAGCCTCCTAGTGACACAATGACATAAATCGTTAGCTTGAAAGGGGGTGATATCACCTGTACATGCCATCGTAGCAAGACCCGCTAGCGCTGGTGTAGCGGCCCTTCCCGTGCATCTTTCCTTCTTTCCAGTTGCCTGCGTACACCGCCCCGGACGCGTAGAAGTAGGTTCCGCGCCCGTTCCGCTCGTCGTTTGCCCAGTTCCCCTCGTACCTGAGAAAAAAAAAACAAAAAACAGGATGGGGCGATATACAAAGAGGAACATTCAAAAGTCAAACAGCTACATAGCAAACGACAGCTGGGAGAACCACCACGCGCTTGATGGAGTATGGCTCACTCATCGTTCCAAAAACGGCGAACGGCCCTGCATGTTGATGAGATAGGGGACGGACGAATTACATGGACGGCGGGCAGGGCCCCGCGATTTCTTGATCGGGGGCACCCGATCCACTACCCTGGTCGGGGCCGTCTCAACGCCAGAATGCGACAGCACTGTTTCGCGGGGCGTAAGCCCTTGTGCTACTCTGTTGTCACGGTATGATTTGGTACTCAAAATCTAAATTAAAAGAACAAGTACTAGTAGCTTTTTTTCTTGTGCAGTTTAGGGGACGCAAGAATATCAAACTTTCGCCTTAAAAATATTCTTCGCGGCATTGCACAGTACCTCGACCCGTTGGGGTACGTCATCGTCCCGACCCCGTCCCTTCTTCCGCCTTTCCACTGCCCCGCATAGTGACTCCCTCCGCCCGTCATTGACCCCTCGCCATGCCGTCGGCCGTGACGGAACTCGCCCTCGTACACCTGGAGAGCACATGTACGGCGGTGAACCCGCGTGCCGCGCGTGAGTTCATCCACAGCAGTCAGAAAATACAACGTGCACACGTTGCTTAATCTCCAAAGGTTACTACTGTGTGAGCGGTAACGATACACGGTCGGTCTGGATCGTGGTTACTAGCGCGCTTCACAAACTATTTTTCCAAACACGTCACGCGTTCCAACACGTTGCTCCTTCGCCGCAGGGTCATGCCACCGAACGTGTGTGTGAGCGCCACCTGAACGCGCTCAGTCTGGACAACGGTAGCTTGCACGCTTCAAAAACAACAAAATCAAAGCAAGACGTCACGCGTTCCGACAAAACACAATAGATAGTGGACGTCTCACCGTGGAGTCACTATACACCATGCGGCCCTTCCCGTGAGGCCGCCACAGGCGGGCTTCGCCTTTATACCCAGGAGCTTGCGGCAGCTGATTGCTCTCCGCGAATCTGCTCGACTGGCCGAGACCCTGCTCAACACCGGCACAAGAGTTAAATAATCAACAAACGAGCCGAGAAATTGAATATGTCGTAAAATTATGCACGGGAGAGAGTGTGCCGCCTAGAGTACCCCGGGGCTGCAGCAAGAGGCGGGGATATCCCGGTCCAGCAGTGAGTTCTTGGCGACGGAACGAGGGCGTCGCAGGAAAACAGCGACGAAAAACGTTGAAGGCATACACGGAAGGCCGAGAACTGTAGCGGACAATACAAATATATTGATTTCAGGTGTGCCGGGCCTTCTTCGCCACTCGAGGACGTCGAGTGGACTTTGGTATCATCGAAGCCGAAACGCGATCAGCGCTCCTCGGTTATTGGTACGAGGATGGCTTCTGCGAGTCCTTAAATATTTGCTGGAGGTATACTATGCATATCATAGTGCTTACAACGACACCCAGTTTTTTCGTTGTGTTTCGTCTAATTTATTAGGCGACAGTCCCCCCATTGTTCGTGGTGAGGCATATACTACACCGTTCAGTCCATGTAGAGCACTACACTTTTCAGTGTATTTTTTCGTAAACTTCAACCATCCAGGGTCACACAGGAGGGGTAAACACCTGGGCTTTTTCTTCTTCTTTATTTATTTTCGTGACCCACCTTCCTTCTGCGGCGCGTACTGAATTATTTTCATCACGAGAAGGGTCCAGCCGTCCCTTTCCCTCGTCACTTGTCAACGGTGCTAACGTCGAAGTTTCGTACTCACGAGAGCTTTTTATTGGCAAAAAATATACTTGCGGCGCAACTGAGAAAAGGAACGGTGGCAACCAGTTTTCGGATCAACCCCCTTGCCGCATACTCCATTTTTCTTTGAATCAAACTCCATGCCAACGGTTCCAGGGGGGGGCGTGGTTTCGTGCGCACCTGCTGCGAGGGTGCGGTCTCCCCCGAGGACGCATCCCTTGGAACCCCAGCCATGGATCTCCCTGGCGATTCTAACGACGAGTCTACAGCAGCAGCGGCGGCAGCAGCAGCCGCAGCAGCGGTTGTAGCCGCGGGGGTGTCGGCGCGTTTGCTCTCACTTCCGGCCGTCACACCCTGCTCCGGGCCCTGCGGCCGGGAGGCGTGGCAGCTGGCGTGGAGCTGCAGCTTGGGCACGACCGGCGGCAGAGCTTCGGGGGGCGTGTGGAGGAGGCCTCGGTTTAGAGGCGTCGGCCACCCGTCATCGTACCTGAGAGGGCGAGCGAGAGAAAGCGGTCACCGAGAGAGACAGTGAGAAAACAGCGACAGACGTAACAACAACAGATGGGCATTATCGAGGGAAGTGCAGATCGAGCACCATGAGTCGTCCGCTATCAGTCGAGCAAGACCCAGAGAGAGAAAGTGGTCACGGAGAGAGAGACACACACAGAGCCACACAAATACACAGCAAGACATATAACGCAAAACAGATGGCCACGATGGAGAGAGACGTCAATCGAGCGCTATGAACCGTCCACGATCAGCCCACACAGACAAGGAGCGAAGGACCATGTAGAGGTGAGGGCGATAGTAGCGTCTGGGTGCGAGAGCGAAGTGCACGATCTGCGGTGGAGAGTGGTGGCTGCTGATCTGGACAGTCACCACCGTACCCCGTGCTCCAAAACGTGGCAGTCGCATCGATCGAAGACACGCGCATCGGCGCGGTTTTATCAGGGCGCACAAAAAAAAAACGCCTCGTACATTCGTTCTCCCAAATTCGTCTCGACGACCCGCGGGGGACCAGGTACGTTCCACAATCGACGACGAGATGGAAAACAAGACAACAACAGAAAAAAACATCGTCTGCACATCAGCAATGAACAGTAGCCCACCCGAAGGAAGGATGCTCCCCCTCGTTGGGAATCCCTTGGGCGGTAGGACCCGGGATGATGACCGGCGGGCCCGTGCAAACCTCGCAGAAACCATCCCAACTCCCGCCGGCACCGCTGTTGCCACCACCCTTTCCCTGAGGGGTGCAAGAGTTATCCCCTGCTGCTGCCGCTGCCGCTGCTGCTGATGCTGTTGGTGCAGCTGCCGGTGCTCTTGTCTGAGGAGAAGGCTGGTGCCGAAGTTGAGCAGGCACGATTTTTGGCAGGGTTTCGGGAGACAAGCGGGCTTGTTAGTCAGATGGCTCATCAAGACCCACGAGAATAACAACAACGAACAAATCGGACTGCTTTGCGACAAAAGCGGTAAACCGGTGCAAGTAATCTGATTTTCATCCGACAGGCGGCGAGTCGACAGCTAGCACCGCATTCGAAGCAACATAAGCACGGATGTAGGAGGAGCATCTTGTCCAACACTACCTCTGAAAGGCTTCCATACCACACTCTGGCGACGTCTTGTCGGCGGTGGTGCGTGGGGTAGCCGCGGTGGTATCGCGAAATAGCACAAACCTCGCTATTAATAGCACAAACGAAGAAAAGACCCACGCAAATTGTAAACAACACCGACATCCATACCAGCATTCCACCGCCACCTTGACGACAAAACTGTACATCATCACCGACACCGACATCTACGCCCACAATTGAACCACCACCGTCACCAAAAGAAACAGCAACTAAAACGACACTCTACATCAACATCGACACCGATACCAACGCCCAAAAGCAACCACCGCCCCTCCCTCACCTCCCAAGGGGCACTCCGCCGCCTCCGTCCTGACACCGGCGTCGCGAGCGGCGTTGACCTGGACCCCTCCAGCCGCGCAGACCCGTATAGATTGTACGAACTCAGCCCATACAGGTCGGGGCGCTTCAGCCGCACCTCGTCTACCAGCGGGATGAACCCTTCGTCGCACCTGCGCGGTCGACCGGTCATCAACACACGACGATCATTGGCAGGGACGGGCGCGGGTCACATGCCGCCGTCGACAAAAGCGAATGTTTCCATGTTGATTCCGCGAACCCATCAACCGAGTATGGCGCCAACGTTTGCCGGGGCTCCAGCAGACCATACTACAGGCTGGCTTTTATCAGATGCTCTATTTTGGAGAAACAACACCACCATGATTACCAGCAAATATGAGGACAAACCCCATGAGCATCACCACCAACCACAACGCTTGCATGCGCTAGCTTCCACGCCCTCTTTCTTGCCCGTGCTTGCGATTTCCGTGTGCTCCTACATTGAACGCACAGCCCGCGCTACACCTGCGCTGCAGCGCAACACCAACAACGGCACCCACTGACCGCCGCCTCCTTCTTCCAGCCGAGCCGTCATCGTCATCGTCATCGTCGTCACAGTCGCCGCCGCCTTCGACCGAGGAGCCGCCGCCGCTGTCTTTCCACGGCACAACCGCCCCGGCTAGCCTGTTCTTGACGGCAATGGCGCACTCCTCGAAGAAGAGCAGACGGCAGTCGGTTGGCGAGGACGATCTCCCTATCCACTGCTGCACCATCACCCAGAACATCTGGATTTTGTGGACAGCCGGACGATGCTTGAGAACGACGCGTGGCCCATACAACACGAACACGGCAACTTTGGCTGCCGGCGTACGTAGGCATACATACGTGTCTTTGGGGTGGATGGAATACGTCAGAGGCCCAGTCGACTAGAACCTGCGATTGGATCTGGGTAAAACACATACGTTTTCGGCAACCTTTCCGCCTATCACTGTTGTTTTCTACTCGCTTGAAACATCACCCCTCACTCCGGCAAGAATATGTCTCGTCGGAAAAAAAACATGACAGTCCAGGACCCAAGACACGCCGTTATGGGCCCATGGGAAACCCCCAACACGCCTCCCAGGCCCTGCACACAAAGCTATCTGCGGAAATACGGTGGAATTGGGTAGGACTTTCACGGTTTACCCGGAAGGGGGCGTTTCGATATTCTCACACGCAACGAGTAATCAGAAGCTCGATTTGACACATCGATGAGGGACACGAGCGTTGGAAACCGTCTCTCTCAGTGGCAATTCAAGGCGTGGAGGGGTCCTCCAGCACGATCCCGACCGGTGCGTCCACACAAAATACTGGCACCCTATTGCACTAAGGCACCGCAGACACAGGCCTGGTCAGGAGTCATTGTCTTGTTGTGGTCTTCACGTAAAAAAAAAACGTGTCAGTCTCTGCTCAATACCTCTACCTCCGTACCGGTAGAGCTGACGCGGAGGCATTCCGTGGTCACACAACCTTCGCAATTTTTGTTTTTTTGACAGGACAATAGCGAGAGAAGAGAGAGAGAGAGAACTGCGAACCTGTGTCGACGTTAGCCTCTGGAGAAACGGCCGGGCTCCGTGCGACGCGTCCATTCCTTCAAGGAAGCGGCTCATGTTGAACAGCTCGTCAAGCGGTTTCGTCCTGCGACGCAAGGGTGATGGAGGAACATTATAAGAACATCATGCATTGCATCAGCTGCTGCTGTGTTGCCTCGTCTGCTAAGGGGCTCTGAGCGAAATACACAAATGCCGCGGCTTGAGGCACATGGAGGGGCACGTTTCCCCCGGAGATACTCTCCAACGCTAAGAGAAAACAAAGCACTTTCAATTGCGCGCATCCTCCCGTCCGTGCCTTCAGCTAGGCCCCAACAGGGTCAATTTGTGGGCAACTGGGCGGGAACATCAACAGCACCACAAAAGTCGAGTACACCCCTTTCATTTTTTCTAGTTCGGCGCATCTTATCCAACACGTTGCCTCTGTGTTGAGACCCTTCAGAGTCAGCGAGGACGGCCGTCGTCTCTCACCCGTTGGACCAGGATACCAGAGTAAAGTCCAAGGTCGGTTGCAGTAGAGACCAACAGTATCTTCCAGCAACACCACCACCAACAACGACAGGACAAAATCCTCGCAACTACGAGGGTACGACGCCAAAACCACCGTGGTAGGTAACCTCTCACCGCAGGCTACGTCTCGAGCGTCTGGCCTCGGACTGACGGAGGGACCCGCAGATCCCGCCCAGAAGCTCCGACATGCAGCACAAGAAGCAGTCCCGCACAACCGAGGCCGTATCGAAGCTGTCGTCCGCGGAAGAGGTGGTAGCGCTACCGCCGTGATGCCTGCGGCGCAGAGAAGCAGCGGAACAGGAGGGCGCCATCGTCGGTCATCACAAACGCGGCCGGTCACGGAGGGGCTATCACAGTCGATGCCGCTGATTGGTGCCGCCGTAGGGGTAACTTTTGGTTGTTGTCGCGTTTGGGCTATCTGTTGATTGGTGTCGCGCTCGGGCAAACTTGACTGCGGTTCCCGGCGTCGATGGAATGATGAGCTTCGGCGCTATGTATGCGCGAACGAGTTCGCATGTGTCTCGCAGGTCACGCAAGGCACCATTCGTCCGGTCGGGCGTTCGTCTTGATATCCACGTTCCCGAACCTCAAACATCTTCTTACTTTGTTCACTCTTCCTACAAAAACGTGCCGACTATGACGTGTGGAGGGCAGACCTGTTGCGACAGCTTGGGTGCTGTCCTCTCGAGAGAAGCGCTCGTTCCAAAACACATCCAAGTTATCAAAACCACCAAAACCACTTGCATTGTCACAACAACAACAACAACAACATTAAAAATAAAAAGCAGCAACAAACGCACACCTCTTTGGTGCTGGATCTCCGGCTGTGCCTAGCCGGTCCCCTCTGGCATCAACCATTTGAATCCGCTCGCTGCTAAAGTGCGGCACGAAGGAGTCCGTTCTGCGAAGTCGAGCGGGGATGATCAAGGAACGGCGGAAAAAACCGGAGAGTTAATGTTACGAGATAAGCTTCAAACTGGCCCCGCGGTGTGTACCATAGCACGGAAGGGGGGCAGACCGAAATACCCGTATCAGAGAGTGCTTGCCACACTGCTGGGTTCCAGGAATTACATGGTAGGCATTGAACTATACATGCAATCCCTCGCACTGCATTAATCAGGAAGCCCAAGCGCGCAGCTCAACGTTGTCTGCTACACCCACAAAGCTTCCGCAGTCAAAGCAAGCACAAAAGCGAACGGTTTGATCGTGCATTTTCTGCACGCTTTATCGAACAAGCAACGAGGTATGAAGACGGGTCGAGATATCGGTTGGCAGGGCATACATATCCACTGCTTGCTGCAACCGAGAGCAGCCCACGACAAATGCGGGAGTGGACAGCAACAACCACAACAACAACGTCTGCGTGCTGGACCAGCTGCGCACGGGACAAATTTCGGTGGGAGCACACGCGATGCCCGCCCCCGTCACCACCTGTCCGGCGCAGGCGCGAATTCGAACGCGCTCTCGTACTGGTCGAGCTCCTCCTCCACCCCGACGCGCACGCCGGCGGCCTCGCTGAAGAGCTCCCGCTCTAGCCGCGCCGCCAGGTCCTCGCGGAGAAGCGCGGGGAGCCACGGGGTGGCGGTCTCCTCGTCCTTCGCGATGAAGGAGCCCCCCTGCAGACCATCCGCGTTGCGGCCGCTGCCGTAGCGGCTGCTGTCCGCGCCGTTGAGTGATTTCCCGCCGCAGCCGCACATGCCGTCGAGCGCTTGCCGCAGCGTGGACGACCCCGAAGAGCTCTGGCTGCTGTTTCGGCTTCGCCGCGAGCTGCCGCCGCCGCTGGCGGATGGTGATTGGTGGCCTCGAGCGGAGTCTCTCTGGCTACCTGTGGAGGCCTGCGGCATTGGAACGGGGACACAGAGCAGTACGCATGACCTCACACGCTCTTTTCATGGACGAAAAACGAAAATAACTGAGAATGAGCGAGGGTTCGCTTTTCTGGACGGAACGACGACTGAAAGCCGCAACACGGGAAAATAGAATTTTCTCGTTCTTTCCTTCCGTGTCGTTGTTGTATAATGGAAGCGTGTCTCTTTTCGGGTACGTAGTTGGTTAGTCATCACGGAAGGCGTCCGAGTTCAGTTGGACCGATACGGACGCCAGAAGGTACTAAGCGGAGACCGGAACGGTTTTTAACGCCAAGGCAAAAAAAATGCACTCTTCGTGGTCATCTCGCGCAAGCAGATGTGCTTGTTTGCCACCAGAAGATGATCGGTCCATGCCCCAGGCTCTCTGAAACCACAAAGTTTTATTGTCGTTCACGAACACCTAGCCACGGCGACATGGACAGGCCCTGCAGCAGATACCAAGTGCGAAGACTGTTGGAAGGGGGCAGCCGTAAGATCTTGGGGAGTATCACACTTGTCATGTGTGGCTCTGGATCAGACGATCTGTCCGCCGCAGGTTGGTCGAGGGCGACACCAAGAGTAGCATGCCTGGACGGCCTTAAAAGGTGGGAAAGAAGTACGGCGAGGCAAACGAACCTACTACGGGTAGATATTGACTAGATTCCAGAGGAATATCACCTGCTGCGCGTTACCCTCGGGCGCCGCTACCGAGTCAGCCAGGTGACCAGAGTGAAGAAGGACCTCACCGGCATCCAGATTTACAGCGTTGGCCACACTTCGAAGAAGACGGATGGAGAGGGTTGCAAGCATGAACAGGCAGGTGAGCGGCTGGCATTGTACAACACGATCCTAATGCAAGCATGGGACCCCCTTCGAATTTCGCACGCGTAGAAAAGTTTCACCGCAAATGCGCAAACGTTTAGACCAGCGCGGTCTTCGGTGCACAATCCGTTTTGTAACATCAAAGAACGGAACAGCACTGCCTCGCAGCACCTCCACGGCGCACCGCATGCAAAACGCATGCAAAACGCATACCAAAAACACCTCGCTATCCGCGAACCAAGAGGCTGACGCTACCCACCAACCAAACAAGCCATCCTCCTCCTCTTGCGGGACCGTTCGAGCTCACCCTTCGAGGCCAAGGTCCCTCACGACGGTGGCCGTTCCTCCCGTCCCTCGCTCCAGCTCCCCCTTGGTGAGCCGCATGCCGATCATGAAACCGCCGGGGCACTCCAAGTACCCCGCCAGGGCGTACGGCAGCTGCGGGACGTAGACCGATTGCCACTCCATGGGAAACAACAGGCTCCGGAGGGCCTTTGAAACAAAAAACGAGACATGCATGGTTGGGTATGTGCTGTCAGCCCCAAGAAGCAGACCTGAAGCGCAGGCGTTACCGTGGGGGGTGGCGACCAGATAGATAATGGTATACCAGATAGATCATGGTATGTTATACCCTCAACGTTTGATCAGCGCCATCAGCAAAGCCACCGCGGGGACAGAGCAAAAAGAGACAGCGTGTCTCAGCAGAGAAAGAATTGCACGTGACAGACTGGCGCGAATTTTTCCAGACGCAACAACCCAAGAGGGGTTTAACCCAAGAGGGGTTGTAGGAGTGCCGCGCCTTCGAAACGATAACCAAAAGCGTCGGGGTGACAAAACAAGAAACACGATTACCATCCGCGACAGAAGATATTACACATGATGGTCCGATTTTCAAAGCTCGATTACTCCAAGTAGAACGAGTGGCGGCGGCAAAAATGGCGGCGTTGAGCGGGTCTCGTCGAGAGCTTTTTGATTTGCACACTCGACTTGTCTCGGAGTATGTAATCGATGTTTGAAAAATCGGTCCAGCGGCTGTGATATCGTTTCGTCACCTACGATATCTCGGGCGGCCCTTGCCGGTCTGAAAGGCGTGGCGAGTCGAGCCCCTTACCTCCATCACTTGGGTTAGGAGCTCGGCCCTGCTCGACAGAAACAGAATCTTCGCCTCCTGCACAATAGTCAAGAACCATTTAACGAGAAGACCCACGAATGGTAATTGGATCGAGGGGGACAAAGAGACAGGTTAGAGTAAAAACACTTCGTTTGTGGCGGACAAAGCGCATAAGTCGTTAGACTCGCTCGCATAGATGACACCTTGTTAGGGTTTGCTACGTCGGGCAAGACCTTCGGGACGACACAAAAAGACAGTAAGCACGGAGCTCTCCCTCCATTGGCCCGTCACACTACACATGCTGTTCGCCTATTCACCGCCACCCTTATATCCGAGAATAACACGTAACTGGTACAACTGCCCGTCAGGGAACTACGCAGAGACAAATCCTACACGTGCATCCAGCGGGGCGACCGTCAAGAAAGACCGCAGTCGACAGACAGCATACGGTAGCGAGCAACGTACCTCTTTTTTTTTTCACCTCAGGCATGCCCGCAAGAACGGCAAGCGCCAGTCACAACCGAGAATTCAACACAAACATCCGTACCCACACATGAATTATGGAAACACAACCCTTCAATAATCTGAAGAACACACCCCGTTTTTGTTCTTCATCGCGCCTGGCACAGCAGTATGCGGTTTCCATCTCTCAAAGAACGACGACGACACATATGACTACGTATCCCCGTAAATATATTTCTTGTCTCACCTGAAGCATTAGCGCGAACACGGTGAGCACAGACTGCACCGACAGGCACCGGAAGGGCGCCGCGAAGTCGATGTCCATCAGCGGAAGCCAGGCGGCCGGCGGCATCTGCAGGGAGAGAGGCTTCAGGCGCGACCGTCGAGGGTCTTGGTTCTCGAGGTGCTCGAGGTACACATGAAACGGACACCCACCTGCGCGCACAAACACACAACATGTTATTGTTCCGCACCAAGCAATGGTCAGCCGGTTAGCGTGGGCAGTACTATCCGCACACGTATACACACATGCACACCAGCATACACCCACGAGCGCGATCGAGAAAAAGCAGGAGCGCCGGTCTGTCATCGCTCCATGTGCACCTGTGCTCGTCGCGGTGTCGAGTACTGAACCGTCAGCGAACCGTCAGCCATCCATTTTGTACGTCCGCACATGGGCCGGTGGGATACTAAATGGCAATCGAAAACCAACGCAGTGGCGCAGTTGTTTTGGCGGTACAGCCGTCACTCGCCCATCGTTGGGGGCCTCGAAATGCGCGGCATCGACAATCCAGATAGGAAGGAGCACAGGACAATCCAAGACCACCAACAAACCGCATGGCCTGAAATGAAACCAACACATCAACGACCGTCTTAGGGGAAGGTGCAAAAACAGCTACCGACGCATAGGCCACGCAGGAAAAACCAAAGCATCCTGTCACCAACATGCCGTACCAGCGACAAAAGCACTCGTCTACCCCGTGCGGAGACACCGGAACGATGCACGACACGAACCCTGAACCATTTTACTTCCCGTGTCCACAGGAGAGAAAGGAAAACCAAAGCATCCTGTCACCAACAAATCGTACCAGCGACAAAAACATTCGTCTACCCCGTGCGGAGGCATCGGAACGATGCACGACACGAACCCGAAACATTTTTTTCGTTTCCATAGGAAAGCAAGCGACACGGGGCCCGTGCCAAGGAAGAAAATAAGCTCTCGACACGCTCAATTTCGGGAATACTTAGCAAACCCCAGCAAAGACAAACCATACAACGACCAAGTTTCGCCGGACAGAGATACGTAGGTTTAACTAAAATCGAGGGGCACGACGAGGGCATCGCGGAACTCGGCCAACCCACCTGGCGGGGGCATCGGGATGCAAGAAACGAACATGGAAATGTACCGCTCGAGGGGGACGTCGGACCGCGAGAGGCTGATGGCGTACAGGTGGCGAAGGAAACGGCGGAGCACCCCGTAGATGGGGAACCTCGAGATGACGCAGATCGTCTTGGGCGCGAAGATGCAAGGCCGGTCTTCCCTCTGGCACATTAGGTCGTACTCCTCGTCGCTGAGATCGTCTGACCCGGCGGTCGGGTTGCTGCTACCGCGGCCACCGCCGCCGTCGTTATTGCCCCTTCCTACTGCCGCCGCCGCCGACACCGACACCCTATGACCCTGAATACGCGGCTGATATGGACCGGTACGGCAGGTTGTGCATGTGCAGGGTCCGGGGTACATCGCGGTGTGAGTATTGACGTGAGGTGGAATCAATTCCTACGCTAGGGTTAGCGTTACTTGTGTTCGGGTTGTTTGGGCTGCGAACACCCGGGGCATATCGTTTAATTGGGGCCATCCGTATTCAACCTCCAGATCTCACGACACCCTGCCCGAGTGAACAAGGCAGCGCGAACACCGAACACTATTGAAAGACGACTACAAATATTGGCACTACCTAAAGGCGCTGGTCGAGAGAGGCCGGACGTGCCGGCGCTCAGTTGTTGCCTCTTGCCGATAATCGCCAAGCGACGAAACCCATGGAACGGAGGAAACCAAAGGGATTGTGAACGGCTCTACGGCAATACGTCTGGCGATTCCCCCGAGCTGGACTGGGGAATATGCATTGCGATCGAGATCGCGACCGTACATTTTCACCCCGCCGCCACAACCTACCAGTGTAGCGGCCGCAGACGGCGGTTCGACAGCCTTGGGACGAGAGGATGCCGATGCGGTGATCCCTCCTTCCGTCGGTCCAGCAACGACATGAGTCCCAATCGCCGCCCCCGGAGTTGCTCCTCTTGCGGCTCCTTCCAGGCTTTGCTCCTTTGCCTTCGCCTCCCCCTTTGTCAGCTCCCTGGCTGCGCCTAAAGCCACCCCCTCGGGCCCGACATCCCGGAGGGTATCTCGGAACGGTACGTCACCCTCTTCCCAACGGCGCCCATCTACGGGGCGCCCCGATGTGCCGCCAGCACCACCTACGCGCCCGCTGCCGCCGTGGAACGCGGCGGACAGCGTAACGGTGGGGGACATTTCATTTTCCTCCCGTTGAGTATGCCGTTTTGGCGTCGCCGCTGCCGCCGCCGCCGCTGCATCATCATCGTAACCGCCCGTCTCCCTGGCACCGCCGGCGCCAAAAACTTCGGCCGCGGACGGCTGTCGCCAAGACGTGGGGCTCTGGTGTTGGCTGTCGGCGCGAGAGCCGAAGCGTTGGGACGCTAGCGTGGCCGCCGACAGCTTCGTCCATGACGTCGATGTCGACGACACCAACGGCGGCATGTGCGCGGCGGCGCCTACGCCGCCCCCCGCCCCCCGCACGAAAGCCTGCGGAGGCCAGCCGGAGGCGGCGGCGGCAGCCGCTGCACCGAGGTCCCCTCCGGACCACGACCCGGTGGATGATCGCTGACGCACTTTCCCGGAGGACTGTGAGAGGCTGCTCAGCCCCCCCCCGTAAGACTTGGATCCGTGGGGACCCATCCTCATTCTCCCCTGTTGAAAGGTAGTGATGGGTGAAAGGCGGGACGACTCGCAAAGAACGAGGGTCGTTCAACGTGTGTGCCCCCACAAGCTGTGCTGAGCTTGCTTGGTCTGGGGGGATTTCCTAGGCAACGATACAGTCCCATGCAGGGGGGGCACAGCAGTGCTCGAGCGCGAAACGACGGCAATGCCCGAAGTACTCGGAACCTCATCAGGGGCACACCGACCGATGTCGCGCTTGAGAGGAGAGGGAGTTCGCCAAATCTGATAACCGAGTCATTCGCGAAAGGCTAATCCGAAAAAAAACCAATCACTTTGAAGCGAAAAGAGCACCCGCTCTTCAAAATTCCGACACCCAGGACAAAGTCGGGGCTGTCCTGGTGCCTAAAGTAGGACGTGCCAGATAAGCGTTAAGGAAAACAGTGTGGCGTGTGGTGAGGACCAGTAACGTGCCGACTAGATGCCCAGCAACCGTACATCTGCCTTCGCACGTTCACTCCCCATCGCGTGTGCAACAATTTTAGCACCACAGAGTGCGAGACCACAACTTCCCGTAGCGAGAGAAACACCGCCAATAGATGGCAGAAGAAGGAGCAGCACCAGCAGCAGCAGCAACACACCTTTTCTCTGATGCTTTTGCAACCCTGCCGCGCGCCAACACACAAGCCACAGACACCATACTCACTTGGGTTGCCTGCTCCGGCCCATCGTCGCCTGGGTCTGGACTTTCTGACTCGCGACAAGAGAAAAGCTTCTTTGTCAAGCGCCTGGTTGCACGAGAGATCACCACACGCACACACGAGAGGTGGTTACCGAGAGGAGAATGAAGACGCTACCCACGGGATTTTTCCGGGGATGGAACAACCGTGGGTTGAAGCGTATGTTCGAGGTGTTTGATGTAGAGAGATGAACGTCCGTTGCCGGGGAATGACTTCATTGCGTTCGCCAGTGATAACCGTAGACTCGACCTGGCGATCTCGCGTGCGTGCAGGTAGCCAAGTTGGTGATATCCAACCGCAGTGCGGCCCGAGCAAACATCCCGCCAATGATGCCCTTTCCAACCTTCCTCTGTGTTGTGCCGAAGGAGGTATTCGGCGCGCACGGGAGAGCGTCCCTCAATGCCGCTTTGAAATATGACCGCCGTTAACCGAAAAAAGGACATGGTGCTCTGCAGAAGGCAAGTCGCTAGCTAACGGGGTGGTTTGAATTACTGATACAAACAAGATCCAAACAAGATAGTAACAGTTGTGAGCGACACCATTGGGTACTATCGAGCGGGCCGTAGAACATGCCAATTGCAAGCCTTTCCTAGAGCAATAGGGCGTGAAAGTCATCAGTCAGAACGATAGTTGTCGTTAAAGAAGTTCCGACCGATGGCAAACAAACGGCATGTGTTCGTATGGGCTGCCCTCACCACCAAGAACTGTGTGTCGTCCAATTTACTCCGGGCGTCAGTCGTAACACGTTTCGTTTGGGGACGATTCGGCCAAGGCCACACAAGAGTAAGGCACAATACTAACAGTGCGATTAAAAAAACACGCCCGCGTGTGAGGTACGCAGACTAAGGGAACCCAACAAACAGTCCAAAGGAGGAGAAGGAAGCACCACACGAATTCACACCTTGCCGCCGAAGGCAACATCGGCTCGTAGAACGTTAGGCAGGCCGTGAAAGTCCTGCACCCGTGCACGTTAGTGAAGACGAAGCTGAAGAAAGAAGACTTGGGTGTGTCCCGGCCTGATCGCCGCTCCAAAAGCATCCCCTGCAAGTTTCACACCCGGAAAACCAAGAGCAGCTCCAACGATAAACGATGTGCGCAATGCGGTTGTTCGCAAGCAAGGACACACGAGCGGCATCCTTGCGATCTATGGCCTTCCGATTGGGGTAAAAGACACGATGGCTCCGTGATGCCAAACAAAGTTGAATACCAGCATGCTATACAGGCGTAAAAAAATCATGCAACAACACGTCATTGGTGAAAAAAGTGGAAGCCTAAAAAAATAAATAACCATGCAGACACCCGAGTTCAAATGCACGTAGCGGGGACACGTGGCGGGCATATGCGTGTTTCCTTCAGCTGCCCTGTCCGGGGACAGAGCCACCAACGTTTCGGTGGGGGAAAAGCCAAAGCTTGCGTCGCGAAGAAATTAGGCCCGCTACAATATGAACTCACGAGCGCTCACCAAGGAAATTGAGCACTTCCAGAGTTGCGGCAGAAACTGTGTCTAAAGGGAAAAATAATGTTAAATGTCTGTGGGTTTTGAAGGAAACCGACAGAGATTGGACCTACCGCCACACAACCAGACAACAACAACAACAACCACAAGGTCAGAGTTAACAACACCAAACCAGCAGCAGAACAATGGTTCGTGGATGCCATCTTTGTTATCTGAAAAAGCCTTCAAAGGACAGACAAAACCCGAGCGACCTTTGAAACACAGACGCCCCCCCCCCGCACCTTGGGATAGACGAACATAGGAAGCTGGTCCCCAGGGAAAGGAAACAGAGGAGAGTCTTGCTCCGGGTACCGGTCCAAAATCATGGAACGAAAAGGCAGGCGAACGGTGGACAGCGCGCCGCCGACCTGGTACCCCAGCTGTACCACGTCGCCGGACTTGCCTCTGTTGAGATCCTGCCGACAGGAAGACACGGAGCGGGTACGGCGACATGAGATACAGGGTCCCGGCAACAGCCGGCAGGTGGGGTTGGACATGCACCCATTGACCAGAGAAGAAAGGTAAGGGGGGCCCGGGGAAAAGCTGGCCGAGAACCAGAAGGTACAATAAGCTAGCTCCCCGACAGACGACATTGGCGGGACACGAGCGAAAAGGGAATCTCGTGGGAAAAGTAAGTGTTGGTCTCACAGAGAGGTCTGGCATTCCCTACCACCACCAAAAATGGCGGGGAATACACTCGCCAAAGACCAACCTTCTCGTAAACTCGGTACCCTGGGGGCGGGTGCACTGTTCCTTGTGCCTTGGCAAAAACGCCGGATCAGTACTAACAAACCTCAAGCCGCCGACACAGCACGAAAAACCATCGCCAGAGACCGTCTGGGTGCCTCGATACCTTCGAGGTGGATTCCACGATTGATCAGAAATATTAGACCTTGCGCCAAAATAAAAAGAAGGGAAAACGTGCCCAAGACACCGACCTTCTGGATGACTCGGTACCCTGGGGGCGGGTGCTCCTCTTTATTGCGCAGCAGCACGCACACGGAGCACACGGCCGCGGGGCAGTCAACGAGGTCACGGACGGCTCTGCGCACGGCCAGCAAAGCGTCGTCCCCGCCCTGGTTTGCCGGTGTTTCAGTTGCCCAACGCAGGAGAGGGAGAAAGCGGAATCGAGCAAGCGCGCGGAGGGGGGGGGGGGGGGGGGGACCCCATAGCGGGGCTGCCGGAATCCTTTGAACCTTTACCCCCCCTCCCCACAAAACCGGGAAGGAGGACGCCGGGGTTTCCCCGGAACAGGGTCTCCCATTACCAAACGCGAAACGCCCGGGGGGATTTTGGGAGTCCCATGAAGGGGGAGCCCCCCCCCGCCAAGGGGGTT